TGATTGTTCGGATCACTAGTATCTAAGTCTTCCGTTGTGCTATCTTATACTTCGTATTGAAAGGTCGGTTCTTGTTCTGGTCTGCGCGTTACAGTATGCAACATTTTATGAGCATCAAGGGTTGCGTACTTATCCTTTTTGAATTAATGGGATTAAAAGATCAATCTCAAAAACATTTGTAACAAAATCCAGGAATCAACACATCCGTAATCATGAGGGTCAAAAGTGAGTATGCCATGCTAAGAAAACACCAAGACGCCAAGAAAGGTTCCTCTATGAATCCTCTCCTCCCCTTCCCTCCCTTTCCCCTTCACTCGTATGTGACGTCACCCCTACCTCGCGCGAACCATCGCCCTTGCGCCTTTCGGCGTCCTCACCCTTCAAAACGGGGCGCACGAGGCATCTATCACGTAGCACAGGGAGACCTCATCGGAGCCGTTCACCAGACGCGTGGCGCAACAGCCCCTCCCCAATCTCAACCCCGTCAGCCTGTGACACAGGCAGATCACGGCACCAAGCAAATCCCCAACACGTACCAACCAAACTAAGAAGATCCATGGAGTACTACCATCGTGAAAACACTTACCTGTCCAAACTGATCCATCACCCTCACCTTCGCATTCGACGCATGGCATCCCGTATTCCGTGGCTCGAGAGTTCGATGCATGATGATACTGGCAACCATACCCATCGCAGCCCTTCACCAGCAGCCTCCTCATAACAACCCCAACCTGTCCGCACGCTGCACCACCCACATCACCAATCCACCCCATAGCCATCACTCCAAGCCTCTCATCTTCCACCTCACGTCACCCCAAACCCTCTCCTCCGACATCGCGCCGCTCCACCGCTTGTTGCCGCCCGGCACCGCATGACTTCGCGCTACTCCACCGCCTGTTGCTGCCCAGTGCCGTTCGGTTCGACTGCGCGGGTGGGGCGCAGCGCTCCCGGCCGCGCTGCACCCAAATTCATCCCCACTTGCTGAAAAACTGAATTCGACGGGTCTGAACAACATGAACAACCGCAATTATGCTCCTTCAATTAGGGACTTTTTCTTCTTTCGTCTTTCCTCCTTTTAACTAGCCTGAGGTGGGGTTGGCCATTCTGATCTTCAGCTACGCAGGGAAGCCGACAACGTGCACCTGCTCTTCAGCTACTGACGTAGCGTCCGGTTGCCTCTATCCTCAGTGCATCACCTGTCACATTTGTTTTCGAGTGCGAAGCTGCAACAGGTCATCTAGTTTTATATAAAAGTGTCACAACCCCTGTGCTGATGTACTTGCCCGATCCTCCTTGTTCCGCTGTGTTTAGAAAGTTCATGTGCTCATTCTCGAACGTCGGCTAGAAGGTTTGCCAGAACTCCTTAGGCAGGCCGTCCTGGTCGGGTGTTTTATTGGCTTGCATGGAGTGCAGTGCCTCTCGAACCTCTATCTGTGTAATTGGTTTACGGAGCTCGTCGCTCTGCTCTTGAGTCAAGGTTTTGTCCAGATGGGCCAGGAATTTCTGGCGAGCCTCCCGGACCGGGACAACGGGAACTGGTCTTCCCTCGAGGTGTAGAGGTCCTGCCACTGCGAGCATTTGATCCAGGTCAGCGGTGACTGTGTCTCCCGTGTGCAGCTGGTCTATAAGCTTGTTACGGGCATTAGTCTTGATTTTCTGAAAAAAGAACTTGGTCATCTTTTTGCCTTCCTCTGGCGCCCTGACTCGTGCCCTTAGCCGTAGCAGTGCGTCCTTCCACTTCTTCCATTCCACCAGTTGCTGTTTTCCTGTGAACAGGGCGTCTCGAGGTGCAACGGTCCTGACTGTGAGATTTTGCTCTGCCACTCGTAGAACGGCTTCCAACTCTATTTCCTTGGCTGTCAGTTGGGCAGCCAGGATGCACGACACTTTGGGCATGGCGTTGGACAGACCTCCCGTGTCCCATGAGGTGCATATGGTCGTGGATGTGCTCTTTCATTGTTTGTGTTTCGATCAGCGAGTTATTGACTTTAAAGAAGCCTGGCCCTCGCCTCGGGGTGGCATCCAGGACCAAGTGAAGATAGATAAACTTGTGGTCAAGGCAAGGCAAGTACGACAGCTGGCTGATGCCTGTCACCTGCACTGCACCCCGTAGATTTTCTGAGAGCAAGAAGAAGTCAATTCGTGAGGCTAAGACATGCTGAATTCCGTTGCGCTTCAGGTAGGTGAAGGCCTTCATCGACGGTTGTAGTGCTCTGTAAGGATCTATCAGCTGCTGTTCTGTTATGAGGTTATGAATGGGTGCCGCCTCTTCCGACACTGCTCCCTCACTCCCCTAGGAGAGCGGACATTCTGTCCGGGCCTGGGTCCAGGGTCGCGTTTCAGTCTCCTGCCAACAGCAGGTGGGCCGGAGAGACACAGACAGGTGAGAGGGCGTTGATCAAGTCCGTCCTCTATTGGAGTGTGTTAGGGCAATGGATTGTAAGGAGGTGGAAGTGCTCTTGTCTGAAATTGAAGTCCAGCTTAACCCATCTACCCCCCTGACCGTCTATTTGGATGGAGTCGATGACAAGGATTTGTGCTGCCACGGTCTTGGAGTGTATCAATATGGCTATGCCTGCCGAACCCGCCCTCGGAGCCTGTGCCCAGAAGGCTTCTCGGACCCATCAGTGTTTGTGTATCTCCCTCTGAACAGCTTGGTGCTCCTTGGCTTCCGTCACGTGTGTCTCTTACAGACATAGGATGTCCGGACGGTGGCACCATACCAGGCTATCGCGTTCGCCATGTTGCTCCATTTTTGGTGGTCGTTGAGAATAGTTGCCAAACCCTTGATGTTCCATGACAGAATGCGGACGTATGGTGCTGGAGTTGCTGCTCTGTATGCCGGGGTCTCTGCTGTGTGCTCCATGATGGTTTGTCAGTGCATGCTCTGCCGTCTGCAATCAGGAGGTCCGTATCTGGTTCCCCAGATAGAAGGCCTCCTTCTTCTCCGACAACGTGTTGATCTTCTTGTGCCATCCAGCCGCATCTGCCAGGAACAGCCTGTTTGAGACCATCACCGCTGCCCAGGCTGCCCTCTCCGTGGCTACCCCTTGGCCCAAGAGCCCATCAGGGCTGGACTTCGCAACCTGTCACGAGACCTACTCCAGGTCGTTCTGACACCCGGGCCACCACTGGGTGCAGGTCTGCCGAGTGCCGGTGGCCAGAGGCATCTTTCCAGTCGTCCATGTTACCCTGCTGTCTTCCCAGCATAAACAGCGGGGTGAGTGCTCCCTTGAACTGTGTTGCCATCACACCATCCTGCAGACTCTGGGAGGTAACAGGTGCAATGACTTGCTGATTTTGACAGTCGAGACTGACTGCGAGGTTGTACACTAACCGGTAGGGTTAGATTCGTAATTTTGGTTGGCTGAGGGCTAACCGAGAGACCTAACTGTGAGGAAATTCGTGAGGGACATATCTGCAAATTTGGGAAAATATAGCACCTAACACTAACTGAATTTCCTACTACTACCCTAACTGCGAATAGCAGGCCCGGGCTACCCCTAGGACAGACAGGCCCTAAGTGGCCTATACTGATAGACGGTCCTATAGCCTATAGCCGGGTCCGGTAGAGGCCGAGAGGCCGAAACAGAAACAGTACCGGTCGGTCAGTCAGTCCGGTCTAGGTCTAGTATAGTCTAGACTCTATAGATAGGTTAGGCCCATTGGTTCAGGACTTTTGGCAGTTCATTTCTCGCGAAGCAGCGTTGGAGAAGCCAAGCAAGTTGGTGACGGTGTTTGGTCTGTAGGCGGCATCCAAAGACTTCGCCGTTGACAGCAACCATAGCCGACCCAGTCTGAGTCTGCCATAGCTGGGGCATCCTCAGCGCACCTACCCCGGGGGTATCTGCGTATGGCCGGGCTACATCGAGGCTCTACACTGTATACTCGTGGGTGGTGGCAGCCATAGCTGCTTGTTCTTTCGTCAGAGTTGTCCATCGACACTGAAGACTTCATGGCATGACCTGTTCTTCATCAGGGTGGTTGGCGCTGGCCTCTGGGAGGCTATTCTGATGTGGCGCTACTAACTGGGTGTAGGATAGAGAGTGGGGTGTGAGTTATGAGAGTGGCGAGATACTGGAACAAACTCTGTTACGATAATTGTTTGAGTTGGCTCAGCTTCGGTGTCATTTCAATTGTTATCCTCGCAGGTTCTAATTGTGATTGGTTGTTGGGAGTTGTCAGAGAGAGAGAAACACTGTGTGTCTTCTCCCCATCTGTGCATAGCTGTATTCCGCTGCCTACTCTGATTTGTGTGCAGTGTGGACTCTGTCTCCTCTCCCCCTTCTCTTATGCATGTATGGGCGTGTATGAGATCGTCTGTGTGTGAGTGGCGGTAAAAATCGTCAGACAACCAAGTTCATAACAGTTGGTATCGGTGCTGGGATTGGAATTGGAACACTGAGGGTTGAGCGCACTGAGGCATCTTCTTAAGCTGGCGATCTACTGGCGAGAGTTTCATGGTGATTCATCTTCCCCAGTACTGAGTCAGCAGGGAAGAGGACTTTCAGCGGTGGATTCAAGTGTTCAGTGGTTGCACTGAGCAAGCGCACTGAGCCTGTCAGGGCAGGGCTAATTCGCCATAGCCAACCCTGAGGGTAGTACTGCGAATTACCCCATAGTGGCGAATTACCCCTGAGGACATCAGGGAACCCTGAGCGGCATCATCCCTGGGTAGCGGTGGCAGAGATTGACAGTCTGTATCAATTTCCAGGAGAAATAACCCCCTCTGGGGCTATTTTTAGCATCAGTGGTCACTAGGCACTGTGGCGAGATTTTTGTTGTTGGCTATCTGCGCACCACAGGACCAGATACAGTGGATCTGGGTTGAGGGAGTGCGGCGCTGCAGGATCCTGAGGAGGATCAACGAGTTTGAAGTTGTTCTCTGCGTGGAAGTGTCATGAGGAATATCTGGAGGAATTGGCGAGATAAGGGTTATCATCAGTCATAGCCAAATCTTCATCATCATCTGCAAGATTCTCTGAAAGTGAGTCCGTTCCATGCACCTACCCGCATAGCGATCCAGATAGGATTAGATTAGTGGATTATAATGGTCTATCTGTCTGTCAGTGACTGAATGTGAAAATTGCAGACTGCATGACAGCCATAGCCATCTCCTCCCTACCTCTCTCTGCTCATTTCTCATCCTCTGTTGACTCTTTCTGATCCAAAATTGTTCTGTGACTGCTTTACTGCATTGCGATTATTCTGGGATGCTCCAATTGTAAATTTTGTACTGAAAAAGTAGTGATACTGGGAATTGCAGTTTTGCGCTGAGTCTATTTATAGCCTATGCTAATTAGGGTCAGTCACAACTTCAATTTTGTCCATCAGATTTCAAATCTGTCAGTCCCCAGTGAATCGCAAATTGAAAATAGGTAATACTGCAGAATCGCAGAGTTGGATTTACAGTACTTCACTGGATACAGTGAATACTGTACTTCGCCATACCCTAGGGTATGGCCGCTAGAGTCATCAGGGTCTAAATTGGAGTCTGAGTCAGGATATAGGGTAACTGTCTGCATCGCTTGTTGTGGTTGATCTCTCTTGTCTGCACTAACCATGTTCTATCATTCCCACTGACAACTCTTGCTTTCTTGTAGGCTCTGGAATTCTCGTGTGTCTCTAGAAGAATAGTGGAGTGACTCTACTAACTCCAGTGTGGTGCAGGGTCAGTTAAAGGAAATCGTGTGCATGATTTTGCTGGACTTACAGTCTGTCTGGCACCTGACCCCAGAGACACCCTTCCAACCCAAACCGCTGATTGCCTATACACCCACCTATTCCAGTGTTGAGATATTGCAGCGATTCCAGGGTGTCTGAAGGAATCCGAGTATCGCTGCATTCTCTGTTTGCTGTCTGTTTTTATTTTTTATTTTATTTTGAAAAAGGAAAAATGTCTGATCAGGGGGCTCAGCAACAGCCACAGGTGGAAGTTGTGATGAAGGTGGAAGGTCAACAACCTTCAACCTCCACTCCTCCTCCTCCACCTCTGACTGCTACCCAGCAGGAGAAGAAGGAGTTGGAAGAACAACTGCGGCGTCAACAGGAACGCCTTGCAGAACTGGAACGGCAGGAGGCAGCTGAGCTAGAAGCTGCAACAGATAATTCCAGAAGGGACTATCTGTTGCAACAGCTAGACAAGGTGCTCACAGACGGCCGTTGTGCACAGGTGACTAAACACCTGGCAAAGACGATCATCCTGGAGCACAAGATCACCAGTTCCTATTTTACAAACTGGGATGATCGTTTTGTTCGTTTGGAGCGTCGGGTTAACGACCTGGTAGATCAGCAGTCTAAGATTCTGGATGCCATTCAGAACTTGACTGCTCAGCTGTCAACCGCCAAGATGATTGCCCCTCAGCTCCCTCTACTGAAACCCAAACCTTCACCTGCTTCTACACCTCCTTCATCTCCCCCTGGATCTGTGCATTCTTCCCACACACCATCCCATTCCCACAAAGCCTCAGCAAAGGCCACCTATGCTGCTGTTACTGCAGGAGACTACAGAGGTCCCAAGATCCCTGCTCCCAACAAGTTTAGGGGTGATGACCCCAAGACCGATGTTGGGGACTGGGCTGCTGAGACCAAAGCCTACTTGAGGGGCTTTGTCAGTGCAGAACAGACCAAGGTGGCGACTGGGCCACCTCAACCTCCAGCAGTCTGCAACAGTCCATGGAGGACTGGGCTTTTGGGCTTGGGGTGGACAAACTTCTGCAGGCCCTGGAGGACCGATTTGCAGACAAGGAGTGGGGCCGCAAGGCTGCTGACAGGATTGCTCGCCTGGGACAGCAGCGGTATAGCGGGACTCTACAGGCCTTGTTTGCTGAGTTCGAGCAACTTACCTCCACCCCTGGGCTGGTCATGTCTACAGATGATATGTTAACCACCTTCTGCAGGGCAGCGCCTGAGAAGTTTGTTGTTGCATTATACAGCGCTGGGCACAAGGACTGGAGGTCCTTTGGCCGTGCAGCCCTGGACATGGAGGCAAAGCTTCATGTCCAGGCCCCATCCTCTGACAGGAGGAAAGGTGCCTTCCCTAGAGGTGGCAGAAAGGGAAAGGCAACCTTCACTCATGCGGGGTCTGCATCAGGTTCAGATACACCTTCAGCTGGGACTGGATCTGCTCCTGATCCGGATATTGCAACAACCCTGACTCAGGCTGTTTTGGGAGTTCTGCAGCAGCGGAAGAGATTCTCCCCCACCACAGCCTCAGCCAGTGCAAAGGGGAAGGATAAGGGACGTCGGCCTTCCTCTTCCCAGCGCCCTAACTTGTCGAAAGACGTTCGGATGCCAGCTGACCCTCTCAATCCCTCCACACTCCCCTGGCATGACCTCAAGATCCAGGAGGGAGTCTGGAGAAGACACAAGGAAAGAGGGGTCTGCGTGAGATGTGAGGGACAACACTTCCTGAAGGACTGCCCTTACATGCCAGGCCCAGGTCAGTCAAAAAACTGAAACAGACCCTGGGGACTGCGGTTCCCCCCAGTGCTGCACCTTCATCTATACAAATAGGTGAATCTGCAGTTGTTTCAGTTGAGACTCTATGTGATGATGTTTGTTTGGGGACTGCACGGGCAGCATCCTTCTGTTATGAGGATCCTGACCCGGATCAGGACCCGGAGCAGGATGAGCTTCAGGCCCTTGCTGCCTTCTTCCTTCATCTGAAGGAACAGAAGAAAAGCAAGTCTGATCTCATCATGCTTCGGCCCCTGATCAACCGCACCAGGATCACTGGGTTGTTAGACTGTGGAGCCACCAGGAACTTCATGTCTCCCAGTGCAGTTAAAAAGTTGCATCTGGGCATGAAAGTTCAGCAGCTGCAGCAACCGCTGCTAGTGAGGATTGGTGACTCTACAGTGCTGAGCATCAGGGAGAAGGTCAAGGGTATCCCTGTGACCTTCGACAGTGCTGGAGAAGTCAGACATAGTCTGAACTTCTACATCTTTCCTGAGCTGCCCTTTGACTTGGACGTCTCTATGCAGTGGCTGAAGGCAGTCAACCCAAGGATCGACTGTCATATCCCAAAGGTTGAGCTACCTAATAGCCAGGGTGTGTATCAGCCATGCATGATTGCTGCTGATCACCACCCTAAGACATCTTGCTACTGCCTGAGAGCTAGAGAGTTTCATGCTCTCTCACGCCAGTACCACCACGAGCGTCTGTTTATTGCTTTGGTCAAGCAAACAGATGCTCCCCCTGTTTCCTGTCCTCCTGAGATACAGCAGGTGGTAGATCAGTATGCTGATATGATGCAGGAGCCCTTTGGGTTACCCAATCGGCCAACCAAGCATCACATCGAGCTGCTGTTCGGAGCGGTCCCTCCCAAGGGCCGCATCTACAGGATGTCCCCTGCTGAGCTTGAGGAGCTCAGAAAGCAGCTTGAGACCCTGACCAGCAAGGGTTTGATCAGACTCAACACTTCTGAATTCGGTGCACCAGTTCTCTTTGTACCCAAAGGGAATGGCGAGTTCAAAATGTGTATTGACTACAGGGGTCTCAATAAGATCACTAGGAAGAGTACTGAGCCACTTCCTAGGATCGATGACCTCCTGGACATGGTGCAGGGCTGCACAGTGTTCAGCAAAGTCGACCTCAAATCTGGCTACCACCAGATTGAGATGGAAGAGGAGGATGTCTATAAGACAGCCTTCAAGATCGGGTATGGGACTTATGAGTTCCTGGTCATGCCATTTGGACTTTGCAACGCCCCAGGCACCTTCCAGACAGAGATGCACCGCATCTTCAGGCCTTACCTGGACAAGTTTATGGTTGTCTACCTGGATGATATCCTGGTATTCAGCAAAACTGCCAGGGAACATGCGAAGCACTTGGCTCTTGTCCTTCAGTCGTTACGTGACAGCCAGTACAAGATCAACAGAGAGAAGTCCTATTTTGGAGTTCCCTCTGTTATCTACCTGGGTCATGTAATCTCTAGAGATGGTCTGGCTCCTGAAGCAGCCAAGATTGCTGTTATTCAGGAGTGGCCTCAGCCACAGACAGTGAGGGATGTCAGGTCCTTCATGGGTCTAGCCTCATACTACAGAAAGTTTGTTAGGAACATTTCTGGAGTGGTTGCACCCCTGACCAACCTAATAAAGAAAGATACTCTCTTTCTTTGGTCCCTTCCCTGTCAGTTGGCCTTCACATGACTCAAGAAGGCCTTGACTCGTGCGCCTGTGCTGAAGTTACCTGACCCCACTCTGCCATTCATCCTGACCACTGGCGCCAGTCAGTATGGCATTGGGGCAGTTCTTCAGCAAGATGATGGGAATGGTCTATGGCCTGTAGAGTTTATGAGTAAGAAGATCAAGACTCAAAAGCTCCAAGACTCTACCTACGAGAAAGAGCTATATGCTCTTGTCTGTGCCCTGAAACACTGGAAACACTTTCTCTTGGGCAGGCACTTCAAGATCTTTTCAGATCACTCCACCTTACAGTGGATGAAGTCCCAGGGAGAGTTGAATGATAAGTTGGCATGGTACATTCAGTTCATTGACATGTTTGACTTTGAATTGAAGCATAAGAAGGGCTGCTACAACAAGGTAGCAGATGCCCTCTCTCGTAGGCCTGACTCTTTTGCGTTGATCTCCTCTACTCACTCCTTTGGAGAGGAGA